AGTTTTTATGGTTGTTGAGAACACCATTCAAGGTGCTTTTATAGGTCTAACTTTTTTTTTTGCTTTCTCACTACCGAAGGTAGGGAAGCATTGTGTTTTTGGTAGACACTTAGCTTATTATTATTGATTTCCTCTTCAATTCGGCTACCAGAGGTGGTTAGGTCTGTGATTCCTATAGAATCGGCTACTTAAAGGTCCTCCTGCAAAACTAGGCCATTTATTGGAATGTTGGTCAGTGCCGGTCTTAGACATTTGGAACCCCCTGGACAATGATGTCATCTCCCTCCCTCTTAATTATTATATTATGCAGTATTTGAATTTTATTTCATTCAATATTTATCTAATACAGTTGCTTTATTAATAGACTAAAGTCATTCATTTTAATATGTTATATATATATATATATATATATATATATATATATATATATATTTTTTTTTTTTTTTTTAAATTGCACTGGTCATTTCACCCTAAGGCTATCACTGATGGTGCTTTGCTTAAAAGCAAAAGATTTCTGTATTTTTTTTTTAAACATATAATCAAAGGAGAAAAAAATTGCGTCCATATTCATTAAACTGACAACCTTTCATTTCATAGAAACATCTTATCCATACAAAATATTTCTAGGAATTACATTCGTAAAATCCATTACTGTTTTTTTCTTACTTTTACTGAGCATTTAAAATAAAATTACATGTGAAAATGCCTCATATTTACAAAATAAAACGTAATAAATAGAAAAGAAATTTAAGATAAACTTCGTCCAGAGTTTAAATTATAACCAGAAAATTGGATTGTTACAAGGAATAAAACAGAGTTACAGCTGGAAAATAGTTATAAATTGGAGGCATTATCATTATACTTCATTAAGTTTCATTATAAACTAATTTATAAAAGAAAATTAGACTTAGTGAAGGTTAGGGTTGGGTTAAAACAATGATTATTGATTATTGATCATTGATTTAGTAACCAGCCTTCGATGACATATAAAATATCTTTACTTTAACATAATTTTAAAAAACAAGTAACAAATAGATACGCACTACTTTTAGTCATTTTCTGCAGAGGAACGATTGCTTTTAATGGACCTTTTTTGAGAATATTTCCAACCTTTTTTAATCGAAGATCATTAGTTACAGGTACAATGGGTTTATTAACCGCTATGCCTAAAAATATATAAATATAAGAAATTAAATAAATATACTAATAATTATAACAATAATATTATTACTAAGACAAAAAAATAAAAACCAGTAAATAAATGAAATATTAGAACATTTATAAAAATGAGTCATTAAAAAAAAAAAAATAGTTTTCTTAACAAATTGTTAATTAAATTGTTGATTAAAAGGCTGCAAGGATGATTAACTCACGTTTCTTTTCTATCAACAATAATAAAACCTTGGGCACAGTTGAAGATGATATACCGAGTTATGATTGTCACTCTAGGGTGATTATTGTCTATGTCTACCAAAAAGACACAGCTCCTGATTCTCAGGACTCCTCCCTCTCCTGAAGATTCTTTCTATGACAATCTTAGATGTGAATGGGGTCCACTGAGGTTAATTAAAAATCTCCTTGAATGAAGAACTATTGGATTAGCCTAAGAAAACAAAACTAATACTTTGAGAAATTGCATGTGGCTGAGAATCATGTTATTTCTCAAAAGACAAATCATTTCATCTTTACTCCCATTCAGTCATATTTAAAAAAATACATATGTCTTTCCAGACCCATAAGTTTCTCAACATGAAGAGATTGGGGAGAGTACCCAAGGCACAGAAAAGGGAGTGAAAGGACAACAGAACCCACATATGATTTATTTCTGAACTTAAATGCAAGGCGGGTAATAGAATTATTAAATAAGCAAGGAGATGTTTTCCGAAAGAAATATTCTGCTTTAAACAAAGATGTAACAGACTATAGAAAATTAAAAACAATAGTGCTGAATTATACTGACTGAAGTCATAACAGGAAGAACAAGTCCACTAGGCAGCACATCCTCCGCGTGGCGGATGAGAAATCTCTCTTAGAAGGGATGGTCTAAATATAACAAATAAAGACCAGTGGGCCAACAGGTACACAAATATACAGGAGGCCAGTTGTCCCGAGGATATGGGGCCTCGTCTACTGGGCTAATCACCCGTAGTGGAGTTTGTGTGATTCAAAGAAACTTAAATTGCCTCAGGATTAGATGGACCTATCGATTACGATGCAGTGCTCGAAAGAACATAAGAATCAGAACATGGAATATTAAAACACCGACTAGAAAAGAGGTGGAATTGGTGGAGGAGATGAAGTCCTATAGGATAGATATACTGCGCATTAGCGAAGTGAGGGAAAAAGACCATAGAGAGATTTATTTGGATAAACAACATGTCCTCATCTATTCCGGTGTTCCTGCAGGAATGTGTGGGAAGGAAGGTGTGGGATTGATTATGAGGAACAGCCTCTTTGCAAAAGTAGAAAATAGGGATCCAGTGACCATCATTCAGGTGTATGCTCCCACCAAAGAAGCTATTTCCTTTGGATAAAGAACAGTTTTATGCTGAGTTAGAAAGGGAAGTCATAAAAAGCCAGGACAAGAACAGAGAAGTAATCATTATGGGTGACTTCAACGCTAGGACTGAAAGTGAATACGTCAAAGCACATGGAGTTATGGAAAAACATGTGGTTGAGCTCCGGGAAACCAGCATGGATGGAAGTGTGGATAAAATATGGCCACGAATAAAGAAAGCCATATTGGAGGCCGCTACTTCTACTTGCCAGATTGCCAATATTTCACCTATACGTAAAAGATCCAAGTGGTGGAATGATAGGGTGAAGTAATCAGTGGCGAGAAAGAAGGCAGTATGGAAAGAGTGCCATAGGCACAAGAACCCATCCAATTGGGAACTGTATGTTCAAAGAAGTAACAAATCAAAGCTAGTAGTGATAGTGGCGAAAAGAAAGAGCTGGGAGGAATTCAGTCAAAATTTGTAGAGTAATTATCATGAAAACGCCAAAGTTTTCTAAAAAAAGATTGATTAAAGCAATGAAAGAAAAGATAAGTGAACCAATATGAAATGTAAAGGAGGAGGAAGGCAGATTGATTGGCGGGGACCAGAGTACGATGCTACTACATGGAAGTTTTTTCTGGAGATGTTGAGGAGAGAATGATTAGAGAAAGTACAGAGGGAGAATACAATGAGCTGATATGGGAGGAAGAGGTGGAAGCAGTAGTGGAGAGATTAAGACTCGGAAAAACAGCAGGAAGAGATATATCGCCCCTGAATTCATCAAATATGGTGGAACAGAACTATTGAAAGCACTGCAGTGCCCTTTTCAGAAGTTAATTACTGAAAAAGCTATCCCTACGGAATGGGAATACAACAAAATTCTCCCCATACAAAAAAAGGACAATGCTATTGATTGCGAGAACTATAGACCTATCTGTCTATCCCAGGTTGTGTACAAGCTTTATATCTCAATATTAGAAAAGAAGCTGAGAGAACTAGATGAGGAAGACTTAGAAGAGGAACAACCTGCTTTCAGTTCTCAAAGCCAGAACCCAAGATCATATATTTTCTCTCAGAACAATCATTGATAAATCGTAGGAACGAGGAAAGAGTATCTTCTTGGCATTTATAGATCTAAAGGATGTCTTTGTTTAGGACCCTAGACAAGAACAGTGGAATGATCTTTCTGGAAAAAACATCCCACAAGGATTGATAGAAGCTATAAACTATTCCAAAGGAATAATAAGAATTAGTGGAAGATAGTCTAATACCTGTACAATTGAGAAAGGAGTAAAGCAAAGGGATAGTGAGCCTCCTCCTGCTCATCATTTACATGAATGAAAGCGTGAAAATGTGCAAATGGAGGAGATTATAGTAAGTTTGACACACAACACTCAACACAAATGCTGAGGCAGACACTTACTATTAATAATCAGAATTTATTTATTGATATTTAGTGTTTAATTATAGTAAGACTTATGTTTCAATATTAATCATTATTAATTATACTATGAACATAATTCTGGCCACTAGCTGTTCTTAACTCTCTATGGCTTTATGATGCATTCTCATTACAACTCTTTAATTAATTTTTGGGTAACATTTTACACATTAGATCTCATTCTTTTGTAATAAACTGCCTCAGTGTCTCTCATATGAAGTTTGACTTTGAGAGACTAGAAATTCATCAGAATCAGGAAACAGCTAAAAATTGAGCAATAGCTCTAATAAGAAGATAGCAAGAGACATGGTTAAACTTGTAGAAGGTACAATCGTGCTGAAAGACAACATGGAGGAAGATTAAAGTGAATTTCAGTCCTCTGTCTGCAATCTCAAAAATCTATTGGGATAATTCTCAATATGAGAAAACTCTTATTTAATAAAAATATGAATGTGAATTAAAAAGTTCACTTTAATTCAGAATTAGATTATCTTAGATAAAGGTGATAAAGATAAATTGTTAGGCAAGAAATATATTGCAACAGGATAATTATGTAACGTTGAAAAAACGGAAATATAGTAACCCTCAAAGGAGCTACAAATGAAAAAAAATTTTGTAAATTTATAGTGTATTGGGTTGGGCGTTGTTGTGATGGTGGGTGAGTTGCGGGGTAGGTTGGGGTATTCACTTGCCCAATTTTATGCGGTTCTGGGTTGTGGGATACTTTGGGTCATGTGGTGGTCGGAGCTATTGGTGTGGGGGCGGGGAATTTTAGGCTGTTGGTTCTGTTTATTGGAGGGTTTTGGAGTGGGCTGCTGGGGTTTGTGCATAGGGTAGTGGTGTATGTTTTTGTCGTATTAATGGGTGGTGGGATGGTGTTGGTTGTTGTGTTTTTGGGGGGGTCTTTCAGTTGGGGGTGCAAGGGGAGGGGGGGGAGGATGGTGCGGGGGTTGATGGGGCATCATGGTGGAATTAGGACGGTCGAGGTCGGGTTGGGGGGTCATGCGCCAACTTGGGGTGGGGGTGATCAAGTGGAGATGTGGGGGGGTTGAAACAATCTCTTGTAAGGTAAAATCCTAAAATGCAAATACATTAACAAGATAATTTAACGTTACTAAAAAATAAATGAAGAAATATAGAAGACTAGACTTAGCAAAATAAATTGATAAATTTGCAAAAATCCTTATAATTAAAATTCAATATCAAACATTATTATAATATACAAACAATGCCTCCTATCACAAACATAGTATGTTTCCATTCACTTCATCAAATGAGCATCACTACTTATACTAATAAGAGCCTTTTGTACAGTATTAAACAAATTGCCAACGATTATTATTGTACAATTGACATATTACTGTAATTCATGAGGAAGGGACGGCCAAACACGTTGGGAAGAGATGGGGACCCAGAGTGCCTGGTTCTGAACGTTGTGGGTTCAATTTCCACCTGAGTGGGTTTCAATTATCATTTCTCAGCAGCCTTGGGAAATGAATCTTGACATTTCTACTCTGGAAAGTACATGGCAGAAACCTCAAGCTAGGAGTTGGAAAAAAAGGACCATGTGGCCCACTTGCAGAACTAGTTCCTCACACCAGTACCAGTACTGTGATTCATTGCGAGAAAAATTATATACATTTATCTATTAATTATTATTTCAATATTAAATTATTAATTTAAAATTTTAATGTAAAAAAATAAATAATAATACGGCATAAACAATTATACTAAACTTATTAACTTATTATCGTAAAAAAAATAAAATAAGTGTACTACCCAAGGACTTGAACCACTATAAGGTAATTAAATCCACATGAAGGTAATCCCTGTATCTTACAACACAGCTCCAGGTTGTACAAGTTATGTTGGGCCTATGGCTAACAGCCCTATCACATAAAAATCTGGTGCTCTCATTACAGAACTTTCACTTATACACTACATAGAAGAAAAATTATTATCTAGCGAAATTGGGTTGTTACAAACAGTTTTTGAAGTATATCTTTAATGGAGCTAAACCTTAAAGAACTCATTTTTAATTTAATTTAAGAATTTTGGTCGTTTTTGTCAACACAAAAATTCACAAAGACCCTAAAATAACACAACCTATTTATTATATCGACGATAGGGAATGAATACTTTGTAACTCTATCTATTTGAATATAAATAACATAAATCCAGTCTTTATGCTCTATATACAAAGAGAGATTTGAAAGTGCATATTTTAATCTATTAATAAGTAAAAGTCATATATATATATATCAAAATAACAATGCACATTAAGAACATAAAAAAAAAACAAAAAACGTTATTATTATATTGACAGAACTGAAAAAGCTCTGTTGAGGTAACGTAAACCCCTTTTGAGTGAGCGCAGCAAGTATCAAAGTCAAAAGAAGCAATGTAATAAAAGAAAATAAATAGTATGCACTGAAGAAGTTGAGAAATAATGTGGATATATTATAAGTATATATTCTGAATATTATTTCCAGAAATTTATTTTCAACCTAAAAAAATATTTTTCTTTTTTCTCCTTTTATCAATTATCAAATTTTTTCATATTTTATATTGAGCCTTTTTTTTATTAAATTAAACGTACATTAGAGAAATTTTGAACACAGGGTATTTCAGGTCTCTTAGACGACATCAATGAGGATGACCTAGCTGATATTAAAGACTATTTATGTTTTTATTGATATGCCGTATTTAATCAATATCATTAGTCATTTTTGAGAAAACTAAAAATGTGTAAAAATATGATATAAAGTGCCACTATTTAGGAAAAATGTAGCTGAAACATCCCAGGAAAATCCCTAACTTAAATACATAATTTAAGTTTTATAGAACTCCTTGTCTTTGAGCTAGGCTGTTCACATTCACACAGTTGCAGAACAATTGTGGGACTTAGCTATTTGGACTCAGGGAACTTCAAAATGTGTATTTCCATAGAAAACTCAGATTAGAAAATTTTAAAGATCGCAATACTTTCCTTTATTATATATTATATACACAGGTAAGTGAAAGTAAAAAAAAAAAAATATTCTATACCACTACAAGCTATGAAAAGTCTCGGGTTCAGTACTACTTAGGGAAAACATTTTCTTGGTCATTTAAGGGTTTATGATAAAATACTATCAAATAAAATACTATAGATAAATATCAATAATGAAATATGAGATTGCATCAGATTAACTAAAAATGTACATGACGTTACTAACTTCATCACAAGACATATTTCCATCAATTGATGCACGTATCCTTTTCTTGTAGTGGGCAAGCTTCTCGTGATTAATTTCAGTTTTCTTTTCTTTCTTTTTTACATAAAACAATTTAACTTTAGGGAGTCCAATACTGTTATCATCACTGTCAGATGAATAAGCATCACCTGCTTCCCAAGGTGGACTTACAGACATAAGATCTTCTTCATGTACTGGAAAAGAATATTAAATTGTCCTAAGAGTGTCTATAAATTAACAGTAATAGTTATAAAGAACACTATCAAAAATCAAAAACAAGGAACCTTTAGTATCAGAAAGTAACTTCTTGCTTTCTTTTAATGGTGAATGTTTCTGTCCTTTATTATATGAAATACTGACTTCCTCGTTAATTGATATGTTATTTAAAATAACAGACAATTGTTTTGCTTCCTCCAGAATATGGCTAAGATTGTATATTTCTGATTCATCCTATAAAAAATAAAATATTAGAATACAGTAATCTTTACATATTTAAAAAGAAGAATAAATATCGAAGCTGATTCAAACTGAATAGTGTAAAACAAATTATATTACTGCACAAACATAAACATGACAACTAATACTTATAAATATAGTTAAGCATTATTATAGAGAAGTCTAGAAATAAAGTCATTTTAAATAAAATTTATGAAAGGCAGCATTACCATCTCTACCCTAAAACAGTTCAATCGTCTACGTTATCTCCTTCCATATAAGTCCCATCAACCCCTAGCTTCCTCTCTTGTTTTCTCCCACTTCAACTATGGCTGTATGGTGTACGGTAGAGTCTTGGGAGATTTTAAGGCCCCACTTAAACGCCACATGAATTGCGCTTTACGTTTTGTTTTCGGAATCTCAAGCGATACCCATATTACCCAGAGTTGAAGAGGTTCTATCTATCATATCCCGTCAGTGCTTTACTAGCTACCTTTCTGTACCACATCATTAGAACTCATCGACCTTCCTATATTTTTCACAGCTTATAATTTAAATACTCCATCCAATTGCGTCCCACTAGATCTCGTACTCTCGACTTCTATCCTCCTCACTGAACTGTTGCGTTTGACAAATGCTTTGCAATTCAAGCCACCTACCTGGAATTCCATCCCTGCCGATATTCGACACACACAATCAGTTTCCTCTTTCAAACCTCTCCTCTTTAAACACCAACTCCTTTCTCAATCCAACTGATTACGAAATATATACCTAAGAGAACTTTCTACGTAACCTCAGAGACTATTTCTGTTTATTTATGTTATTTTAGTTTCAATGAAACTACAACAAAATATATATAAAACTACAAACAAATATATATATATATATATATTATAATATATATATATATATATGGGAGGCACTAGAGTCAAGGCTAAAACAAACAGCTAAGGAAATAATAGGAATTCAGGAAAAAAGAAAAGTCTAGAAATGGTTCACAGAAGCATGCAAAAAGGCAGTGGAGGAAAGAAGAAAAGTCCTCTGCTTACAAACTGATCAAGTGATGCTGGACAAATACATAGCTGCCAGGAAAAAGACTCCCTTAAAGAAAGATTACAAACTATTGAGAAAAACTGGCAGGCTGGAAATATATGCGAATTCTTTGTAAATTGACGGCATCAAAAGAAAAGATCCTAAGCATCTTGAAGAAACCCTTCCAGCAACTGCTTAATCAAGGACATCCCACAAATGAAGAAGACATGGACCACACTGAGGACATTGACCCACTTGAGGTTGAAAAAACAGATATTCTGAATGTGGAAATAGCTATCGGCAGGCTTAAAAGAAGAAAGGCTACAGGGATAGACAACCTACCATTAGAATTCTTCAAGGATGGGGGAGAAGAACTCAGAGACAAGCTGTTGGGTCTAATCCAGAATATATGGGAGAAGGAACGGATACCAGAAGCATGAAAAACAGGGTTGATCTGTCCTATCCTTAAGAAGGGCTCCATGTATGAATGTGGTAATTACAGAGACATAGCACTTCGTACGGTCGCCTATAAAATAGTGACTAATATTCTGCTAAATTGGATATATCTATATCATGAAAACATAATAGGCGACCATCAAACAGGATTCAGGAGAGGAGGGAGTACGCTAGATCAGATATTCATCCTGAAACAAGTGCCTGAAAAACGATGGGAAGTAGATCAAGGACGTACACGCATTATTTGTCGACTTTAAATCAGCCTATGATTCCGTTGAGAGAAATCTCTGGAAGATCATGACTGAGCTGGGTGTTCCTGGGAAATTAGTGAGATTGACGAAGGCATAAGAATGACATCACGCGAAGATGGAGGGGTGCATGTTGGAATGAAACATAAAATTCTAGCATATGCCGATGATATAGCTGTTCTTGGAAGTAATCAAGAGGATATTGAGAGACTCGCTCGGACTCTATTAAAAGAAGCAGAGCAAATTGGACTACAGGTCAATGTAGATAAAACAAAATAGATGGTAGTTAGCCGAAACATCCACCCTAATAACATGATCTGCGTATATTCTAAGTCATTTCTGAAAGTAGACAGATTCAAATACCTCAGCTCCACAATAACTTCAATAAATGATCAACCAACAGAGATAGACCAGCGAATAACAAGTGCGAACAGATCTTTCTTCTCTCTTTCAAAGGTACTGAAATTCAGAAAAATCTCCAGAAATCACAAAATAAGGGTGTACAACGCCAGTTATGCCGTACGGTTGTGAAACCTGGGATCTAATTGGCACATTAGAAGCCAGAATTGAGAGATTCGAAAGAAAAGTTCTACGTAGGATAACAGGACCAGAACCTGAAAGAAACGGGTCAGTCAATATCTCATGACATGAAGGCAAGGAGGTTAAGATGGGCAGGACATGTAGCTCGTAGTAATCCATCAGGACGCCTCTACACGACAATAAATGCCAGAGTAGTAGGCAAGAGACCACGTGGGAGGCCAAAAACCAGATGGATAGAAAGGATAAACAAAGATACGGCTGAGCTTCATGCCGCAAACTGAAAAGCAGTAGCCCAAGATAGGCAGAGGTGGAAAAGGCTGGTTCAGGCTGCCAAAGATCTACAAGGTCTGTAGAGCTAACTGAAACAAATAAAATAAAATATATATACACATATATATATTCCTTTCATTTCAATACAAGAATGGAATAAAATCCTGCCATGACCATTAACGAAAAATTAACGTCAGATCCTTAATGTGAAAATGAGTGAAGGCGGGTGCTTGGTTCAGAAACTGATAAGAATTCCTACACTAGCATTTTTTGACAACAAATTAACTATCTTATTAACAATCACATTGCAAAACCCTTTAAGTGCAAAAACTAAAATAAATCAAAAGATGAAATAAGGAACAAAATTTTTATTTAATGAATTAGATTTTCTGTTATTAAATAATGTTTTAGTTTTATTTCTGAAAAAAACAAAAAAAAACCGACTAATAAAATTGTTCTTACAGACTTTTATTATTAAGCACGGCTGTCATTATATTGCTTGTATCCATTAGATTGTATATATATATATATTTTAATACAGAAAATCTTAAAACTTTAAGTAATAAAACTAATCCATAATAATATAACATTTATAAACTTTTGGTGTTGTAAATCAAATAACAAAGCAGCTGCAAAGAAGCATAGAGATGAAATATTAAGCCTAGAAGTACCACCTATCAACAAACAAAGAGTTAAGTTTCAAACTGATTGTTCTAATGGGATAAGACACGTAAATATTATGTAGATATTAACAATCATTTCATGTAATTTATTAGGTCATCCCGTAAGTATTTTTTTTAAAAATCTTTTTAATTATGTTGATATTATTAATCCCTCCTTAATAATACTAATCACTTAATTGCATCAACTGCTGATGAATGGATGGACAGTGGTTTCTGATAAGCTGAAGCAGCATTTTCTCCTCTATAGAATTTAAAAAGCACTACATGGCAAAAGTGGTTTTTGGGAGATACATTATAATTGAAATTTCAGCACAGAAAACTAATTTTCAGCAACAAAAGCATGATGAATAGAAGAGTATGTAATGTAAGATTATTAATATTAACATGAACAGAAATTTTTACGAACCGTCATTACTTATGGGATGACGTGATATGATTCTTTAAGTTTGGAAAACTGATTATCCATATTAAGAACATTTAATTTCAAATCAAATCTTATATTTTATCTCAAAATCCATAAATATCGATTTAGTTATTATAACTTACTTTGTATTTGGGGAACTGATTTTCCAAGTTGGTAGAAGTTGACCTCAGATTGTACAAGTTTTTAGAAGTTGGAATCTCACGTTTGCTTTCAGCTTGAACTGTACTTCCACTGAGTGCTCTTTCAATACATTTACCAACACGTTTCTTGACAACTCGCTTAATCCTATCCCTTAATGAAGGAGAATTATCCAGTGACCGACTACTTACATTTAAAACATCATCTTCAGATTTTTCATACTGTTTTTCAGAAGTAGGAAAAAACTTGACATTGTGAGAAACAGAATTGCTGCGATTCAATCGACTATTACATTCCCTTGAAATAAATTCACCATCAACCAGCTTTTCACAATTTTCAACACAAGACTTATTGTTTTCTTCAAAATGCATCAAAGACTGGTGTAAAACTAATTCAAAAGGATCCCAGTTTTCAGCACTATGTGCCACAATGTCAAAAGGATTATTATTTTCCAACTCATTGAAATTAAAATCAGGTCCTGGAATGAGGGGATTTTTAAGATAATGATTATGTACCACAACATTACTATTCTTTTCAGGGCTGTCTAAGTTAATCAACATTTCTTCAGTTGTTCCTACGATAAAAACAAAAAATTATAAGAAAGAAATAATATATATGTAAACATCAACTAATTTATTTAATTACAATATACATACCTGCCATTGTTTTGGTAATAACTGTGTTAAAAGAATAAGACTTCAGGTCATTTCAACTAGAAGAATATGAATAATGCTTTTTCCAGTTATAATTTTATCAATAACACAACAGCCAGAAAGAACTCATGGTTCCAAATCTGTATTAAATTAAAAAACAAAGCGCAAGCAATTGACGTAAATTAACGAAATAGTTTTGTTATGTTTGACAATTAAATCAAGTAACAAATTCATAAAAAAAAAAAAATTCGTATAATACTTCTGTTATTACGGGATGTTCTCGTCTTAAGTTATAAAATTCACTATTGATTAAGAAATACTAACCAACAAATAAATAAATAAATAAAATGACTGGTAACAGAATTAAAAAATTGAATGAGTTTTGAACGGTGTTAAGTACTAAAATCCGTTGATAACAGTGATGCCAGTGTCATGCAAAAAGTAACTTAATTACTATCAATAAAATTATTTCAAATTACTATACTAAAGTTTAAAATGTTCACTTAAAACTTAAAATCTACTATATTTAATTTTTTATCCATTTCGAACATATTATTTCCCTCTGTTAGAATTATAATGATCACCAGCGAAGTAGAAACATGAATAATTGCCCATAAACAAATAACATCTTTCATTAAATCATCAATAAATTCTCTTATAAGATTGTTTTTATTTTTATTTTTTTCAAACGAAGCTAGTTCACTTTCTTTAAAAATTGTAACTTTGATTGGTAAAATATTTGTAATAGGAATTTTTATTAAAATTTTGACTTTATAAAATCGAACGATACATTGTCAGTCAAAAGTAATTGTACAAGTCAAATTTTGGTTTTGAATTCAAATTGGCAACTTGTCCATTCCCTCGGTATAGTATTTCCCGTCTTTAGAATTGATTAATTCCGAAAACGCAAGTTCTGATTCCCTTAGTCCATTAAATGTTTTGTCACGTAAGTAGTGGTCCAGGTGTCTAAAAAGGCGAGAGCTCCAATTTCTGATGCTTTGCGTTAATTTCGTTCCAATACGACTCGGAATTGACGGTTTCTCCAGAATTTAAGAGGGTGTAGAGTATGAAACTAGATGAAGCCCACAAACCATTAACCATTTTTGATGAATTGGGGGCTTTGAAAATGTTCTGGTGCTCCTCCTTTTTTCGAGCCACATTCCAGAACATCTATTCTTATCGTAAAGTATCCACTTTTCACCACAAGTAACAATTCTGGACTGAAAAGGACTGTTTTTGTTTCGGCAAAAAAAGTGCAGCACAAACTTCATCACGGTTCTTTTTTTAGTGGTCGTTTAATGTGTGTATAATCGAACTTTCAAGTTTTTTACCTTTTTAATCGCCTTGAAGTGGTCATCGACGGTCGAATTGCTAAGATTAAGTTTCTCTACAAGTTCTCGAACGGTTGCATTGGGATTTTCTTCCACCAAAGCACGCAGAAAATCATCATCAAGAGAGGAAGTCCTTCCACGACCTTCTTTGTCTTCAAGGCTGAAGCATCCCTCCCGAAATTTAAAAATAACTGTTGAACAGTGCACTCATTAATGTTGCTCTCGCCCAAGATCTTGATTAATGTTTCTGGCCCTCTGGGCCCCATTCCGACCGAGTTAAATTCGTAAAAAGAATTATATGAAAATCAGCGTTGACATCTTAGTAAAGACTGAATTATTTCTAAGAAACGAAATCCTTCAGAGGTAAAGAAACATTATCGTTTGGAAGAGGATTAAAGTGTTGACATTCATACAAATGAGTAAAAAGTAAACGTTTGTTATATAGATGGGTATTTTAAAGAAAACTGAAAATCCTGCATTAATTTCCGGACAACCCAGTATATGTAAACTTCAATAATATTCACAGTTACTAAATAAAATATTAGTATATAAATGAAAAATATATTTCGAAAATCTTTGTCCATTTTTAAGAATTTGGTCAGGGATGAAGTCATTAGACCTAGACAACAGTGTTTTTCGAATGTTGTAGCGTCAGAAAAGTGCACTTTTTTCCGGGATAAAAGGCTATAGCCCAACAATTACTTTTACAGCCACCTGTCACTTTTTACTTGCCCTACAGTATTTTATGTCCTTCCTATCAGATCTCTCACATCAGTTTCCAAACTTCTTTCGGCACTGCTAGATGAAATTGTAATATGGCTTTTATTATTACTGTTTAGGAAGCACAGTGGTATAGCGCTGAGTAACCTGTATTAAATAATTAATTTTAAGGTGGAAAATCTAGAGCGTAATCTCACTCAAATCACCTCCTTGCACAACTGTTGACCAAGAAACTGTACCTTCCCTACATAGTACTGAACCCAAAACCATTCATGGATTGTAGTTGGACAGATAAAAAATCTGGTGCGCGCAACACACAATTTTCACTTGCCGCTTAACTTTGAATAGAAATTATTTTCTAATCATATTGGGCTATTATAAAATTTTTGAATTGCATTTTTAACCGAGCTAAAGCTAATAAATTACAGCTAACAAATCATAAATACCATTAAAATAGCAAAAGTCCTGTTTATCATATCACCAGTTGATTATGGATTGTACGACTATTAGTAATTAATCCGTTATTTTCCACTGTAAAGTTTACTAAAACGGAATTAAGAGATTTGCATTGTCTGTCGTGTATCTCTCCAATAGAGCTGCTTTATTAATAGGGTAAAATTTATTATTATAACACGTTTTGTATTTTTTATTAATTTCTAACTATCGGCCGGCGCCCCGTCCTAAGACCAGCATTGTTTGTACAAATACTACTAATAAAATTTTTTCTTCTTTTAACATCAATGACAAAAGGTTTCTTCCTGGGCATCCTTCCATGTAAATCACTGTGATAAAGTGTTATTCTCACACTGGACTTAGTTATTTTTTTAAACTTCTAACCACTAATACCAACCACAAGTGGACATCCATAAAGACTATTTGTAACTTCTATGATAATGACCCTGCAATCTTGAGGCGTCAAAACTTTGGGGTTCACTTTCCGTGTATTGTTGGGGGTATTTTTCGTCTCACCTTTGTCATTATTTGTATTAGGTGACGTTACGACCCAGTTGTTAAGTTGAAGTTAGTCATTTCATTGATCATCTTTTCTGTTTCTTGCCGCTTCCACTTTCTGACACCAAGTATAGAGTATCGGTAGTAACTCCATTCTTCCAGCGAAGATTAGGACGTGTAGAATCATAGACATGCTCTGATATATTTTTACTTGGGGTTGCATTTATGTTGGAATTTCTGCCCAAGAAAGCATTGATGACTTAATTATGGAGCATTCATCTAGATCTCCATATACAGCTCTTAATTCTGTATTATTCCCTCCTTCAAGAGCCTTGTTCATAAACAATAACTGCATATTGTTCTCAGCACCTAACTCCAATGTGACAACTTATATATAATAACTAGTCAGTGCCATCATTCTAATGCAGCTGTAAGCACAGTAGGGATTTAATTTTCCATCCCTATATAATATACTATTCCTCAACTTTCCAAGGCCTCCATAAAATATTAAATTTACCGAAACCCGTTATAAAGAGTATAACAAAGATATTATATTAGGTTATCACATCTTGGCTGTTCCCCCTTTTGTTGGGACTGGATAGTACATCAATGTTTTCTGATAAGGAAATGTTTTCTAAACAAAAAAAAAAAAAACAGTTTCTCTAACAATAGTACAGTACAGTACTGAATGTGTTGTTTAAATGGAGGGAATCAGGGAAAGTGAGGTGCTATCCACTGCTTCCGATTTTCCAATTTATATCTACAACACTTATTTCTCTTTCAGTTAAGATCAAATTTTTTCATAGTGTATATTTTACTACTTTTTCTTACTATTTTCAATTTGGAACCTGAGAGACCATGTTAAAAGAATTTTTAATAGTAAAATTTCTCAACAACAGTGGTGTAAATATTTGTCCATTCTGCACCAGAATTAATCAACTATCCTATGGCTCCAGTCAAAATCTTTGACTACCAGATATTAAACTACTTACCTTTATTTTTTTTCTCTTCTCTTCTTCATTTTTAATTCTAGTTTTCCATGGACTGTTTTTAAGAAGAGGAAAGCAATAAAATTACTTGAAAGGAGGGAGACTTCATATGGCATCGATCTAGGGGGGATGGGCTCCTCTGAGAAAGGAGAACTCAAAGAAAAAAGTACTGACATACATTTTAACATTGATTAACATTATTGTGCAAACATTATCTCTGTTAAAGTCCACTTCTGCTCTGCATATTATACTTAATAAACAGTGCATCTTAAGATGGGACAGCTCCTTCCTTCTTTTCTTAATCCTTTAATATTAATTAGGTATTTATACCTTTAAGATCCAAATTACAAAATGAAAACCACAGCAAGACGGAGTTACGTGACCATGCGACTGGTCTCTCAGACATTAGACCCACACAGTGGCATGATATACTTGATTCTCTAGACAAGAATTTCCATGACACTTAAATTATATTTAAAGAAAGGAACAAAATGAAAAAAAAAGTTTAATTATTATATAAGACGCATTTACAAAGTACATATACTTCATAACCTTTACTGAAACATTTTTTTGTTTTTTAATAAATAATATCTTATATACCCTAAATGTTTAACTTAAATAATAATGATGTGTCATCTACTCATATCTTATATAAATATCTTGAAATAAAAAGTAATTTGAAAAAGAAATTTATTTAACATAGATAATAATCAAGAAATTTATTTAATTTAAATAATTATGATGTGTCATCTACTTATTTCTTATATAAATATATTCAAATAAAAATTTATTTTAAAATATATATTTATTATGTATGAATATGAATGAAAAAAATAAATTGTACAATACAAGGTACGAAGAAAATGTGCACCTACCTCTACCAGTACTTGTCTCCTAAGCCTTATACAGAATGTCCCGTAAGTAAAGGGAAATATTTTAAGGGGTGATAACAGACTTAGAAAAAAAGACTATCAACTATGATCCAATTGTGTGTATAAAGACAAGAAATTCCAGTTTTGTGTTGAATAGGAAGCAATTACTAGAAAAAAATTACTTTAAATGTAAGTAGTTTAAGGAGTTTCTCTTTATTAAAACAATTTAAGGAGGATTTTTAAATCACAAAAACGTTTATTTCTATTTTTCATAATTTTATTCATTATTCCCGATTTTTTCATTTTATCACTCTCCTGGAAGTAAAAACTAAATTCTAACTTAAGTTGAAGAATAAATTCGAACCCTTGGACCGGGAGAGCCTCATGGTGGACCAACACAGAGGAAATAGATAAATGGTTAAAAGAAACAGCTAAGGAAGTAATAGGTATTCAGGAGAAATGAAAAGCTAAGATGTGGTTTATAGAAGCAAGCGAAAAGGCAGTAGAAAAGAGAAGAAAAATGAAAGTCCTCTGCCTAGCTACTACTCTGGACAAGTACACAGCCGCCAAGAAAAAGTCAAACAAACTTATATTGGCAAAAAGGGAATTCCTCAAAGAAATATTGTAAACCATCGAGGGCAACTGGCAGGCTGGAGATATACCTGAAT